TTGTGTTCCTGTCTTGCTAGTTGTTTGGCATAGCGTGTCCAGCACTGTAGCTTGCTGCTTGTTGAGTGGAGCTGGGTCTTAGCATTGAGATGGAGATCTCTGGGAGAGCTTTCGCCATTTGATATTACATCGAGCCGGGAGATCTCTGGTGGACCAATGTCCTGAACTCGGCTCTCCCACCTCAGAGGCACAGGCCTGACACCCGGCCTGAGCACCAAGACCCTGTCAGCCACACAGCTCAAAAGAAAAGCGAGAAAAAAAGAAAGAAAGAAAGAAATTAAATTAAGTTATTAAAATAAAAAATTTTTTTAATTATTAAAAATTAAAAAATTAGAATTAATAAAAAAAGGACAAAAAAGGAAAGACGATAGCAACCAAACCAAAAAACAAAGCTACCAATGATAACAAGTGCTAAAAACTATACTAAAAAAAAAGACAGAACCCTAGGACAAATGGTAAAAGCAAAGCTATACAGACAAAATCACTCAAAGAAGCATACACATACACACTGACAAAAAGAGAAAAAGGAAAAAAATATATATCTATATATATAAAAAGAAAAAAAGGAAGAGAGCAACCAAATCCGTAAACAAATCTACCAGTGATAATAAAGTCTAAATACTAAACTAAGATAAACATCAAACCAGAAACAAATTAGATGCAGAAAGCAAACTCCAAGTCTACAGTTGCTCCCAAAGTCCATTGCCTTAATTTGGGGATGATTCGTTGTCTGTTCAGGTATTCCACAGATGCAGGGTACATCAACTTGGTTGTGGAGATTTAATCTGCTGCTCCTGAGGCTGCTGGGAGAGATTTCCCTTTCTCTTCTTTGTTCGCACAGATCCTGGGGTTCAGCTTTGGATGTGGCCCCGTCTCTGTGTGTAGGTCGCCTGAGGGCATCTGTTCTTTGCTCAGACAGAATGGGGTTAAAGGAGCAGCTGATTAGGGGGCTGCGACTAACTCAGGCCGGGGGTGGAGGGAGGGATATGGAACTTGGGGCGAGCCTGCGGTGGCAGAGGCTGTCGTGACGTTGCAACAGCCTGAGGTGCACCATGTGTTCCCCTGGGGAAGTTGTCCCTGGATCATGGGACTTGACAGTGGCAGGCTGCACAGGCTCCCCGGAGAGGAGGTGTGGATAGTGACCTGTGCTTACACACAGGCTTCTTGTTGGTGGCTGCAGCAGCAGCCTTGGCTTTTCATGCCCATCTCCAGTGTCCATGCTGATAGCCATGGCTCACGCCGTCTCTGGAGATCATTTAAGTGATGCTCTGAATCCCCTCTCCTCGCGCACCCCAAAACAATGGTCTCTTGCCTCTTAGGCAGTTCCATACTTTTTCCCGGACTCCCTCCCGGCTGGCTGTGGCGCACTAGCCCCCTTCAGGCTGTGTTTACGCAGCCAACCCAAGTCCTCTCCCTGGGATTTGACCTCCAGAGCCTGAGCCTCAGCTCCCAGCCCCCACCCGCCCTGGTGGGTGAGCTGACAAGCCTCTCAGGCTGGTGAATGCTGGTCGGCACCAATCCTCTGTGTGGGAATCTCTCCGCTTTGCCCTCTGCACCCCTATTGCTGCGCTCTCCTACGTGGCTTGGAAGCTTCACCCCCGCCACCCCCCATCTTCGCCAGTGAAGGGACTTCCTAGTGTGTGGAATCTTTTCCTCCTTCACAGCTCCCTCCCAGAGGTGCAGGTCCCATCCCTATTCTTTCGTCTCTGTTGTTTTCTTTTTTCTTTTGCCGTACTGAGGTACGTGGGTGTTTCTTGCCTTTTGGGAAGTCTGAGGTCTTCTGCCAGCGTTCAGTAGGTGTTCTGTAGGAGTTGTTCCACATGTAGATGTATTTCTGATGTATTTGTGGGGAGGAAGGTGATCTCCACGTCTTACTCCTCCGCCATCTTAACGGTCTCTCCCCTGTAATTGATTTCTAATCCCATAGCCTTGTGGTCGGAAAAGATGCTTGATACGATTTTAGTTTTCTTAAATTTACCGAGGCTTGGTTTGTGACCAAAGATGTGATCTATCCTGGAGAATGTTTCATGTGCACTTGAGAAGAAAGTGTATTCTGCTGCTTTCGGTTGGAACGTCCTGTAAATTTCAATTAAGTCTATCTGGTCTAATGTGTCATTTAAGGCTTTTGCTTCCTTATTAATTTTCTGTCTGGATGATCTATCCATTGGTGTAAGTGGAGTGTTGAAGTCCCCCACTATTATTGTGGTACTGTCGATTTCCCCTTTTATGGCTCTTAGCATTTGCCTTATGTATTGAGGTGCTACTATGTTGGGTACATAAATACTTACAATTGTTATATCTTCTTCTTGGATTGATCCCTTGATCATTATGTAGTGTCCTTCCTTGTCTCTTGTAGTAGTCTTTATTTTAAAGTCTATTTTGTCTGATATGAGTATTGCTACTCCAGCTTTCTTTTGATTTCCATTTGCATGGAATATCTTTTTGCATCCCATCACTTTCAGTCTGTATGTATCCCTAGGTCTGAAGTGGGTCTGTTGTAGACAACATATGTATGGGTCTTGTTTTTGTATCCATTCAGCCAATCTGTGACTTTTGGTTGGAGCATTTAATCCGTTTACATTTAAGGTAATTATCAATATGTATGTTTCTATTACCATTTTCTTAATTGTTTTGGGTTTGTATTTGTAGGGTTTTTTCTGCTCTTGTGTTTCCTGCCTAGAGAAGTTCCTTTAGCATCTGTTGTAAAGCTGGTTTTGTGGTGCTGAATTCTCTTAGCTTTTGCTTGTCTGTAAAGCTTCTGATTTCTCCATCAAATCTGAATGAGATCCTTGCTGGGTATAGTAATTTTGGTTGTAGGTTTTTCCCTTTCATCACTTTAAATATGTCCTGCCACTCCCTTCTGGCCGGCAGAGTTTCTGCTGAAAAATCAGCTGATAAACTGATGGGGATTCTCTTGTAGTTATTTGTTGCCTTTCCCTTGCTGCTTTTAATATTTTTTCTTTGTATTTAATTTTTGATAGTTTGATTAATATATTTCTCAGCGTGTTTCTCCTTGGGTTTATCCTGTATGGGACTCCCTGCACCTCCTGGAGTTGATTGTCTATTTCCTTTCACATGTTCAGGAAGTTTTCTGCTATAATCCCTTCAAATATTTTCTAAGGCCCTTTTCCTTTCTCTTCTTCTCTGGTACCCCTATAATTCGAATATTGTTGCCTTTAATGTTGTCCCAGAGGTCTCTGAGAGTGTCCTCCTTTCTTTTCATTCTTTTTTCTTTATTCTGCTTTGTGGCAGTTATTTCCACCATTCTGTCTTCCAGGTCACTTTCCCGTCCTTCCACCTCAGTTATTCTGCTATTGATTCCTTCTAGTGTATTTTTAATTTCAATTATTGTGTTGTTCATCACTGATTGTTTGTTCTTTAGTTCTTCTAAGTCCTTGTTAAACATTTCTTGTATCTTCTCAATCCATGCCTCCATTCTAATTCTGAGATCTTGGATCATCTTTACTATCATTACTCTGAATTATTTTTCAAGTAGATTGCCTATTTCCTCTTCATTTATTTGGTCTTGTGGGATTTTACCTTGCTCTTTCGTCTGCAACATATTTCTCTGTCCTCTCATTTTGTCTAACCCACTGTGTTTATGGTCTCATTTCTGCAGGCTGCAGGCTCGTAGTTCCTTTTGCTTCTGTTGTCTGCCCGCTGGTGAGTGAGGTTGGTTCAGGGGCTTGTGTAGGCTTCCTGGTGGGAGGGACTGGTGCATCCGCTCTGGTGGGTGGAGCTGAATCTTTTTCCTCTGATGGGCAGGGCCACATCATGTGGTGTGTTTTCCGGGGTGTCTGTGAGCTAGTTCAACTTTAGGTAGCCTATCTGCTGATGGGTTGGGCTGTGCTCCTGTCTTGCTGGTTGTTTGGCATGAGGTATCCAGTACTGGAGCCTACAGGGAGTTGGGTGGAGCTGTGACTTGATGTTGATATGGATACCTCGGGAGAGCTCACACTGATTAATATTTCCTGGGCCCAGGAGTTCTCTGGTGGTCCAGCATCCTGGGCTCAGTGCTCCCACCCCAGAGGCCCAGGCCCGACCCCTGGCCAGGGAGCCAAGAGCCTGCAGGCTGCACAGTGCAGCCAGAGGGACAAAAAAAGAAAACAAAACAAACAGACAAACAAAACCCAAGACAAATAGCAAAAGCAAAAACAAAGAGCAGCAACAACACAACACACACACACAGAAAGAAAGAGAACAAACAAACAAAAGAATTCAAAAATGAGGGGCTTCCCTGGTGACACAGTGGTTAAGAATCCACCTGCTAATGCAGGGGACATGGGTTCGAGCCCTGGTCTGGGAAGACCCCATGTGCCGCGGAGCAACTAAGCCTGTGCGCCACAACTACTGAGCCCACATGCCACAACTACTGAAGACCACGTGCCTAGAGCCTGTGCTCTGCAACAAGAGAAAACACCTCAGTGAGAAGCCTGCGCACAGCAGCAAAGAGTAGCCCCCGCTTGCTGCAACTAGAGAAAGCCCACGTGCGGCAACAAAGACCCAACACAGCCAAAAATAAATAAATAAATAAATAAAAATAATTAGAAAATGAGAACAGTGAGGAGTAAAGTAACAAAAAATGAAAAATAAAAACCAAAGCAAACAATAAACCAGAAAGTGAAGAAAACATAAAATATACACATAAAAACAATAAAAAAGAATAAAACAAAGACCAAAAACAAGAAAAAAACAGAAAACAACAAAAATAAAGTAAAAATAGAAAAATAAAAAATATATATATATTAAAAAAAGAAGGGCTTCCCTGGTGGCGCAGTGGTTGAGAGCCCGCCTGCCGATGCAGGGGATTTGGGTTCGTGCCCCGGTCCAGGAAGATCCCACATGCCGCGCGGCAGCTAGGCCCGTGAGCCATGGCCGCTGAGCCTGCGTGTCCGGAGCCTGTGCTCCGCAACGGGAGAGGCCACGACAGTGAGAGGCCCGCGCACCGCAAAAAAATAAAAAAAGAAAAATAAAAAAGTTACAAAATAATAAAAGCAACAACACCAACAAGTGAACAAAATGAAACAAACCCAAAAAAATAATAATCGTAATAAGAATATTTTCCTCGGGCCTGCTCTGTCAGTGTCCTTGCTCCCTCAGTGAACCAGAGCCAGTCCCCACTTCCCCTGGAGGCCTTCCAGTACTTCTAGGTTGGTCTCTGGACCTGCTGTGGACTCTGTGGGGCCAGCTCAGACCCTGACCTGACCTAACTCGCCCATGTTCTTGCCCCCAGAGTCCACTGCTGCGAAGGCCAGACCAGTCTCAGTTGTGGGAACACTCATTGTCCATTCAGGTATTCCACAGATGTGGGATTTACCAAGCCGATCTTGGGGATTTAATCCATGGCCTGTGCAGCTGCACAGAAAGATTTCCATTCCTCTTCCTCAGTCGCACCGCCCCTGGGGCTCAGCTTTGGTTTTGGCCCCGCATCCACCTGTGCGCCATCCTTAGGCATCTGTTCCTTGCGCAGCTGAGAGGGAGCAAAAGCAGTGGCTGCTTGGGGCTGGGGTGGGGTACAGAGGGCACAGTTGGGGTGTGTGTGAGTTGCCTGCAGCAGCAGGGACCAGCAGGCCATTGCAACAGACTGTGGCATGCTCGCTGTGCCAGGAGTACCTCCCAGAGATGGTGGAGGCAGGAGCTGGCATGCGGGGGCAGGGGCAACCCCCCACCACTCACCACTCAACAATGACGCCTCACTTTCCAGGCAGATGACGCTTCCCCTAGGGGCATTTGGAGCCACGCATCCCCTGACACCCGTCCCCTCTGCTGTTCTGCGCAGCCAACAGAGCTCCTCTCCCTGATCTGCTCTCCCAACCCCACACTTTAGCATTCAGCGCCTGCCAGCATCAGTACACTTCCGTCCCAGGCAGGGGAGCCCAGGGCTGATTCCCAAGGAGGCTTTGGGATGGGTGGCGCTCAGGCCCCTTGAGCCCAGGTGGGCGTAGGAGACCCTGACCCGAGGGGCAGGCAAGCCCACTCAGATGGGAGCCCCTCCCAGTGCCTGTGGAGGCGCAAGAAGCCAGCAGGTGGGGAGACGGGTTGTAATGGCGTCCCCGCCCCTTGCGTGCCACTCAACAATGACGCCTTGCGTCTATGGCGTCCTGCACTTTTCCCGCAGACTTTCCTGGTTGTGTAGCTCCTTACTCCTGGCCCTTCAGGCTGTCTTTTCACAGCCAACAGCTGTCCCCTCCTGGGTCCGCACTCCAAATCCCACTTTCCAGCACCAAGCCCTGCCCTCCACAACTGGCAACTCAGGACTCAGGCTGGAATGTGCAGAGCTGCAATGTAGACCACTTGTGTAGTTCTTACCTTGTCCTGCCTTCTGCAGACTGTCTGCTGCATTCTCCTTTGATCCCCCAAAGGTCCTTTTCTGTCACAGCTAATTTCCCCACCGAGAGGGAGTTTTTCTGAGTGCGGGGACCTCCTCTCACCTTCAGCTTCCCGCCAGGGGTGCTGATCCCTGTTTTGCTTCCTCTTTTCTTTTTATCTTCTTTCTTTCCTCCTACAGGTTATGAGGGGATTTTTCTTGTCCTTTTAGGTGTCCGAAGTCTTCCGCTAATGTTTAGCAGGTGCTCTATGAGAATTGTTCCATTTGTAGATGTATTCTTGATGTATATGTGAGGAGAGACGAATTCCGCGTCCTTCTATTCTGCCATCTTGAGTCCCCCCGCTCACCTTGCTTTATGTAGTTTTCTACTTGAAAATCCACCCAGAGAATTGACAGTTGAATCATTTCAGTGTATTTTGAGGTAGTTTCAGTGAACTAAATTGTTGTGGTGTGTGATGTTAACTCTTTCACTGTGAGGTGGGAGGCATCTTTCCTTACTGGACAGTTATCACAGTTCTCCTGGGTTTCTCACTTTACTTCCTAGACCCAGAGAGGGACTTCCCAGTAACTGGTCTCTGGATCTTGTCTCCTGCCTTTGCTTTTTGTCTCCTTGACTAATGTGGTTTTTGGGGACCTATACCTGCCCTTCTGGTGACAGTGCCTTTACACACTGATGCCTGGTCAATGCTCAGTTACTAGGCTACATGTAGAGTGGGAAAAACTATAAAATTGGCACCATCTAGCGGGCCTGGCCCTCTCTGCCTGACTTGTACATTATTCTTAGATCTTCTCTGTTGATCTAATTACATTCAAAAAGTACTTTTTGGAGCCTCCGACAGAGAAATGAAACTCCTCACATAGTCCTGAACAAAGCTGTGTCCTCCATCTGGGGCATGAGCAGCTTTGGGAGAGATGCATTTGGAGAGATGAGGAAGCAGGGATCACCTTCCTGGTTAACGAGATAACTGATCAATAGGATGGTGTAAATCAAAACCAGATCTCCCTCTCATCCAGGTGTTTTTATGCACTTACCATCCTCAGAGTACTGTGCATAGCTCAGGCATTAGCACATTGTTTGGCTAAATGGTATCTGTAATGTCCGTTCAGAGACATTTCCGTATCTCCTGGGTCGGAGCTATGACATGAAACTGCAGCCGGCTTTATAAAGCAGCCAATGTATCTGAATGGAAAGACACTAAGTTCAGAGAGGAGGGAGATCACTGTAGTCCTGAGTGTATTGGCCAAGCTTTTCAAAGAGATGAAACTTGAACCAAGACCTACAAGGACGTTTATCATTAACTTTGCCTGCACTGTTTTCTGCTTCTTACCATTAGTGATCCTGGCAGTTGGTTTTGACATCTTAGGATAGAAGCTACTTAAGGAGAGCTTAATTTCACAAATCCTGATGCTTTGTGTATTTCAGCTTAAAACTTAACTTTCTCTTAATTCCAAAGATCCTAATAATAGAAAACCGTTAACTTCTCTTTGGGCAAGTGTAGCTGTCCTGCTCTCCTGACAGTTTCTCTTCTCCTCCATTTAGGTTATAAATACATGGGGCCTGGGACCATGTGTTTCTTATCCTTACTTTATAATTCCCTATGGATAAGACTGGCCTGATTCTTACATTGTAATCTAATCACTTACTAAGAGGTCTCGGGGTTTGTTGAAGGTGATGGATTAGCCTCTCAAGCGCCCCAGCCCAAACAGTGCTGGTTGTCTTGGGCATTCCCATCACCTGCCTTCCCTGATCCCTATTTCTGTTCCAACCAAATATGTTCCTGCTTTTTTCCCCTGATCACCCCATTTCTATAGCACATTAAATATACTTTTAAGGAGGTGTCAAGACTTCTTTTAAGAATATGGGGTTTTATTCGCAATAACACATATACATAAACCAGGAGATAGGCACAGTGGCAGATGAGATCCGACCAAGCACAGAGACAACGTTAATTGAGAGTATCCAAGTTAATTTAAAACCCATCAAGTTCATATACCCTTACTTTTTAACTTAGTAAATGTTTTAAGCTACTGTGTTTTATCTCAGTTAACATAATGAAGCTTTCCTCACTTTTTCCAATTCACTAAAAACATTTTTACTTACCTATTGCTTTTAGACAACTTATGAAGCATTTCTCTGTGGTTTTCTTTTGCAAATGGGCTGGTTTCACTATGTGGGCCTTAACTTATAAATTGTTGTCTCTTATTCTCTTTGTGATCCACCTTTCATTGTGTTTAGCAGGCGCTGGTTGCTTTGTAATATTGAAAAAACAACATGTAGGTATACTTGGAAAGAATAGAGAGCAGTGAAATTTTGTATATTGCAAACTGTTTTTCATAGACTATCATCTTAAAACATAACCCAAGGCAAATGTGGAAGTCTTCTCACCATTAATGCTGCAGAGATTCATTTATTTAACATTAAACAGATATCTCTTGACTTCCCACTTTGTGCCAGGTATAGTTCCAAGTGCTGAAAATCTAGCAGTAAGCCAGACAGACAAGGACCTTGCTCTTTACAAGCATACATTCTAGCCAGGTTTGCAGTGGAGATGCAGGCATTAAACAAATAATCAAATACATAGCCTGTAGAGATGGCAGTGATTTCTTGATTCTTTTTCCCTCTACCATGGCTTCAAGGCCATTTCTACAACCTTATTTTCTATAGTGTTGAGTTGAATTTAGTCTCATAGTACTACTACCCCCATCTACATAAGGGCCTGTTCTAGTACAGGAGAGAAAGTACGGAGAGGCACCTGGTAGGGTCAAGTTTCTCATTGTTAAACTGAAACTAAATGTACTTCACTCTCAGGACTGTAGAGGTGAGGATTCATTCACTCATTCAGCAAACATTTATTGAGCAGTGTATCACTCAGGGTTCTATTATGTTCCAGGCTATATAACATCTACAGGCATGCCCTTAAGTACCTAGCTGGAAAGACAAAGACATAAAATAAATAATTACTGATAAATGTTACAGTAAAAACATATATCAAGTACAAGGAGGGGGCCACAAAAGCATTAATTAACTCTGCCTGGGGGAAGGTCTCACCATAAAGTGTCCTCTAAACTGTGACTTAAAGGTAACTGGAAATACAGCACACTTCATTTACTCAGGAAAGTTTACTGAGCCAAGCACAGTTGTGGGCCCTGTAGACACAGCGGTGAACTAGGCAAAATCCCTGCTCTCTTGGCAGCACAGAGACAAACAATAAACAGAGAGATAAATAATTATATATTAGGTGGCAGTACCTATTAATATAAAAAAAAGAGTAGGTTAATAAAGGGAACAGAGAGTGACAAGGGTTGCTGTTTTAGAAAGAGTGGTCAAGGAAAGCTTCTCTGTCGAAGTGACATTTGAGCAGAATCTTGAATGATATGAGAGAATGAGACCAACAAGCAGGGGAAGCTGTTTCTGATAGAAGGAGCAGCATGAAGAAAAGCATAATAGCCACGAAAATTGTGGCATCTTTATTACAAAGTGAAGTATTCCCACTGAGCATGGATGGAGTAAGCTGGGGGTGCAGAGAGCTTGGGGAAGTGTGGTAGACGAGGCTGGGAAAGGAAGGAAGAGGGGGCCAGATGGTGAAAAACACTGTGTTCCATACTCAGGATTTGGAATGCCCACCTTGTTGATTGGGGAAAGAGGGGCTAGATTTTGAAAAAAATTAAGAGAAAAATGACATGGTTAGATTTTTTTTTTCATTCGGTTGGGTTTGGTTAGGTTTGTTTTGGTTTGGTTTGGTTTGGGGAAAATTACCTCTAGCACAGGTATGAAAGATAAACTTGAAAGGAGACGCAGAAGAAACCAATTGTAAGGTTATTATGATAATGCAAGTGAGAAATTATTTGGCCTAAATTAAAACAGTAAGATGAGGCTAGAGAGGAGACCGTAGAGCTCAGCTGTTTTAGGAGACCCACAACGGAAGATTTGATGCCCTGCGGAGCATGGGAAAGGTCAGGAACAATTCCTGTGTTTCAGTTTGGGTGACTGAGTGGGTGATAATGCCATCAACCAGCTCAGGGAGCCCTAGAGGAGCAGCGGGCTTAGAAATGCATATAATGAATTTGATTTGGGGCAATGGGAAATACAGACTGGAAATTAAAAGAAAAGTCAAGGCTGAAATACAGATTTGACTGTTACCAGCGTTTCATGGAATTTAAAACAGAGGCGCAAGAAGAGTAGTCAGCATTGTCAGATACTGCAGAGAAGTTTAATAAGATGAAGACTTTTAAAAGGCTGCCAGATTTGACAGTTGGAAGGTCACCAATGACTTCATCAAGAGCAATTTCAGTAGATGTGGGTAGAGTAGAGCCTCATCATGGTTGAGTTGGAGAGTGAAAGGGCAAGAGGCTGGGATTATCCAGCCAGGATCGCTGTCCTCTCTTCTTTCCTAAAGCTCCTCCTTGGAAGCTTTGAACCAGAGGTCTGATCTTCTCTTCCCCTTCCCTCCTTAGCTTTCTCCACCCAGGGCCTAGGACTGGTTACCCGAGCTGGGGACATGATGGAGGGACAAATATTCTAAGATCCTTGGGTCTCTGATGGGAGAGATGTCAGGGATAGAGGAGCCTGATGTTGGTGAGTAAGGTATTGCAAGGAGTGTCCTCCGTAGGGAACAGCAGGTAGGGCCAGTCCAGAGACCTGTCTCCAGAGGGGAGAAAGATGAAACACATAGACCTCTGTTGTATGTGCAAACTCTGGACCAGGAAGCTGAGGTAGGATGGGGAGCAAAGGACTTGAAGGACTGGTGGGGCAAACATGGAATTAGTCAGGAAACCTGGCCCCAGTGAGAGTGGAATCTGACGGAGTGCGGGGGTGAGGGACAGAATCTGACAGTAAACTGATGTTAACTAGAAATTCAGGCAGGGATGCTTAGGTTTCCTAGGGCACAGGGACTGAAGATGTGCAGTGGAAAGACGTTGGCAGTACTTGTGACCATGAAGATAGCAGTGAGGGGACAGTTAATGAATTAAGGGGTAGCATAAAGAAAAAAAACCTGGCATAGAGATATTTAACAAATATTTGTGAAGCCTGAAGCGGTCATTCACATTACGTGGAGGAAAGAGATTAGATACCAGAGTTCAGAAGAGCTGAAAGGAAACACCTAGGTTCTCTTCAGGGAGAGGATGGACTCAGTGACTAAGGGATCCCAGACAGCTTGGAGCTGCAAAGCCCAAGAGAGAAACTTGCACTTCCGAAGGAGTTGGAAGCAAAGTTCAGGGTAGGGGAGCCCCTCCCTTAACCCTGGGGACCAGGCAGTTATCAGTAGGATCTACCAGATTTCCCCCGCCAGCTCCCATACACACCCTCGGCCTCAGTTTCTCCCGCCTGCACCGCCACCTCAGCCCACTGGGGGGCGGGGCTCGAGGGCGAGGCTGGTGGCTGTTCTGAAGCCTCGAGAGCCGTCCGTTCCTACCAGACTCCCTGCTCTGAGCGGTCTTACCCCATGGCCGGACACAGCCCCTCAAACTTCCCCGTGTCGGGCACTGGTGGGGACAGGCCCGCAGGGCCAGTGCCGGTGGGGGTTGACACTCCAATCGAGTTGAGCGCCCAGGCGGCCCCCGGCAGGCTGATGGTCCGGCCAGAGGTCAGGCCGGGGATGTGCCCAGACCCTGAGGTGTGGGCACTGTCCCCAGGTCCCCCGCCGTGCGAATTCCAGGATCGGATGATGCCTTGCCGGCCCCGGGTCGGAGCTGGCGAGGCGAGCGCTTGGTTCCCAAGACCCTCTGAGGTCGCCTTCCCCGGGCCCTGCATCATCCTGCCGTGCATCCCGACGCTGGCGCTGCCAGAAGACGTCTCTGCCGTACAGGAGATGGAGCAGTTGGCCAAGGAGCTGAGGCAGGAGAGGATGACCCTGGGGTACTCTCAGGCCGACGTGGGGTTGCTCATGGGGGCTCGTTTTGGAAGGGCGCTGAGCCAGACGACCATCTGCCGCTTCGAGGCCCAGCAGTTGAGCCTCACCAACATGTGGAAGCTGCGACTGCTGCTGAAGATGTGGCTGGAGCAAGTGGACATGGAGAACCTTCTGGGCTTATGCAAAATGGAGACGATCCTGCAGCAGGCTGGGAAGCGCAGACGGGCATACAGGGAGAGACACATCGGAAACAGCCTGGAGAAGCTCTTCCTGCAGTGCCAGAAGCCCACACCCCAGCAGATCAGCTGCATCGCTGGGCAGCTCCAGCTGCAGAAGGACTTCGTCCAAGTTTGGTTCCATAACTGGAGCAAGATGGGCAGTCGGCCAAGCAATGATTTCTCCCCACTGGCGGAGGTGGGGACTGTCTGACCTCCTCTCCCAAGAGGACCAGTGTGCTTTCCCCTGACATCGGGACTCCATTTCTGTGTCCCCCATTATGGGGGACCCTACTGTACACCGTTGTACCCCTGCCTCTTTCACTGCTGGAGGAACCCTCCTCTCTGCCCTGGCCACCACCCTGAGCCTCCCCAGGCTTTCCAGCTGAGGGGCCTGCCTTTCTGGGGAGGGCCAATCCGGGGAAACGGGCCCCTGGGGTTCACTTAAAGGCTTTTAGCATTAAGTCCTCCATTAGTTGTCTAAAGAAGTTAAGAATACGTAAGGGAGAGGGATGGGAGCTGTTTAGAAAAATTTGGGGAGGGAGGTTGAAGCTTACGGCTGTGTTGTTTTTCCCTTTGTTTTTCCTTAGCATTGGCTTTAAGGTACATTCCAAAACGTAGATGGTTTTAGATATTTTGTTTCTCTCTGTTTATTAATTGAAAAGTAATTGTGTCTCTTATTCCACGTGGTTATCAGTAAACAGGGATATTCTTATGAACACAATACTGAGTGAAAAACTCAGGTCACAGAAGACTATGTCAGTGTATTATTTCTATCAAAACCAAGCAGAACTTTGTGTGAACACAGAGTCCAAGATAATCGTTGCCTCCAGGGGAAGGTTTGACGATGGGACAGGAAAAGAGTACATAGAGCCTACCCAGAGCCCTTGTTGAAACACAAGAGTTTGCCGGTTCTCCCCCTTTTCTTGAAAGATGTGTTTTTTTCTAATTCACTTTTCAGCTCTGTTTGGTTTATTCCCTGGGAATTTCCCTTACTTTCTTTTGAGCTCAGAAATGCTTTGTAGAGGATATTTGTGATAGTTGATCCAACTATCCAACTCCCTGGTGGCTTTTGCAGTGGTGCATCTTAAATCACTTTTCCAATCTCTTCCATGAAATTGGTCTTTTCCAGTTTTCTACTTCTACATTGGTCAATATGGGTCATCGTATACTAGACAGAAGTCATTAATCCCTCTGTGTTTTCACACCTGTTGCCGTACACCTCCATGTAATATTTATGGTTTTATAATTCTGTCACCATATATTATACCTGAGTTTATGTATTCTTTTTGCTTACTAATCTTGTCCATTTTTTTCTCTACTTTTTTCCTTAATCAGTCTTACAAAGAATTTATCTACAGGTATTTTCAAATAACAAGTTTTTTATTTTTAATCCTATTTACTGTTTTTATTTCCTAATTATTTAATTTTAGGTTTATTTTTATTAATTGCTTTTTTCTAGTTTCTTCCAATATGTATTTCTTCCTCTTGTCAATGTCTGAAAATAGAGCACTGTCAAGACACGTAGGTTAGTGAAAATGGAGCCAAACTTCAAAAAACCAAGAGTATGTTGTCAGTGGTTAGCAGTGTCATATGTCAGAGATCTAATAACATAAATCAAGTAAGCTACATCATTTCATTAACAAAGATGTTACGGGTACATGTCTTAGAACAATTTCAGGGGAGGAGTTAGTAGAGGCAGGTTCCAAACAACAGTCCAAAGTCTTCATATTTGCCAGATTTTCCCCTACCTCAGTTAAAAACATAAATTCCAACCACTCACTCAATGAGATCTTTGCCATCATTCTGAAAATTTCTGTATCAAATGTTTCCTTTATCTTGTATTTCCTTTTGACAAGGCAGGTATTCTTAACCTGAAGATGCCAAACCTCTTTGAGGTATAAGCAGAATAGCGTTTTTGTACATATGTGCATTTTCTTCAAAGATGGTGATGGTAGCCTTCATCACATTTCAATGGGGACCATGACTGTGTAGATCTACGATTTTAGAATTTAAGCAACACCTTCCCATTGGCCATCTTACTTTTGAGAGTTTTCCCTTGAAAACTAATAGGTAATTCCTGGTTTTCTTCAAGTCTGTATTTTCTGGGTATCTCTAGCCAGTACAGTATAAAGGCCCTGAATCAGTTCTTACATAAGTCTTTCAAATTCAGACCAAATACTGTATTGATTATTGCCTTTATTGTTCTTATGCTTTTATCATTCCTTGGCACTTTAATTAGATTCTTATCATAAAGAACAATTTCTCCCTTCCCTAGAAGTTTTCCTACTTCTTGTCTAAGAAAACTTGAGGTGTTAGGAGATCCCTCCTTATTCCAAAACATTATCCTGCTCTTAAAATAGCATCTGTTTTCTATTATTTCATATTTTTAAAATGTGTGTAGTGTACATCATTGTTTATTATACTAGAACTGTGTCATAAGGATTTATTTTTCAGAATAGCCACTTTTGTTTATGACTTTCTTCTAGAAATAGTCTTACTAAACAGTACTGATTTCCTTGGCAGAATCCATTTATGAATTCTTTTTAGGGTACAAAATTTTATTATCTATGTAGAACAATGTTTTTACAATGAAAACTACAATTCCATTCAAATAAAATCCTAGTGGAATATGGGAGTATTACTTGACAAAGTGATTCTAAACTGAAAGAATGAAACTTGGGGAAATACGGAAATTTTGAAGGTAAAGCGTTAGGGCCTTGTTCTACCAGATGTTATGAAACTACAATAATTTGAACACAGTGTTGTGGTCGTGATGAACAAAATAAAAGAAACAAGTATTTTTGGCTGTTCCATCTGTGGTCATGTAAATTGGTACAACCTTCATGAAAGGCTGTTGGGTAATTCATATGAGAAGTTTTTAAAATGTGCTTTTCCTTTGGCCCATCATTTCAACATTTAAATAATGTTTATAAGAAAGTAATTGTTATATGTATGCAAAAATTTAGTGATAAGGGTGGTATCACAGCATTTTTTTTTAATTTCAACAACGAAAAGTTAGAAACAACGTTCAACAAAGGGTTAAATAAATAAAAAGGAACACCATATAGGGTAAAAATTGACAAACAGTTCAGAAAAGATTGTTGAATGAGGCAAAACAATTTATTAAACTTTATGATGTCATTTTTTATTTTTTAAGGAAAAAGGCATATTACAGGGAAAAAAATCTATAATAGGTATTACTGGTGATTTTTTTTAAAATTTGCTGTATGTATTATACAGTTTAAAAATTCAAGAAATATATCTAAACAAAGACTCCAGAAAATCTAGGATTCCTAAAAATATTCATTCTTCTAGTCTTTCTTGTCTCTAAATGGTAATTTCTCATTATAAAACAATATTTTAGAATAATAAATCTGGCCTTTTCATTTTTAGTCAGATTTGTAGTTTCTGTAAAAGAAAGGCAATTCTCTAAACGCAGGAGTATTGGGACATATCAGTTGGAAAGGCATTGCTAAAAATTAGGGTTTTTTTAATCAGATGTCCATTAATGTTAAAGAGCTGTAGTGTAGCTCAGTGAATGAAGATACCTGCCATATGTCTGTTTTCCTGCACAACATGGTAATTTACAATTACAATTAGAGTGTTTATATACCTCAGTGTAGTTAACCTACATTTAGAATATAAGCCCAAATCATTTTCATGTTCCTGGATGTTTACTTTTCAATTTAAAAAAAAAGCATTTGAAAATATCAAAATCCTGGTTTTATCACGGTAGAATTCTCCCTACTTGTCATGTTTGAAGAAACTAAATGAATATAAATGAGATCTGTGGATTTTTAGATTTGAAGGGGGGGTCAGTTCCTGTGATTACAGCCCCAGCCAATTGAAAGATGAACTGTTATGAAGTAAATCTACCCCAATACCCAGTAGAATCCTTAAAACAAGGCATTAGCGTTATCGTGGTTACACCAGTGAAGAGAAACGTGACAAGAAGCTTTGGGAGACTGTATGGTTTACCTAAGGGGCTGCCTCCAGAAAAGAACCCAGCGGGTAGGTATGTTGGGCTGCTGCTCTGCCACCTCACTTTTTAGCTGTGAGCCTTGTGAATTCTCCTAACGGCAAAATCAGCTACTTTGGCACTGAACTTGCGTTTCTTAGGTTTCCTTCCCCCAGCTTCCAGCAAAATTCGAAATGCAAACCAACTTCACTTATCGCTATTGACTCTTCTACTGACTGCCTGCCAAAGACTATGGTCAGAAAAGGAAAAATTGAGGCCTTCCATTGATTTTTAAAATCAATGTTATCTTCTAAATCTGTACAACCTGTTTAACATACTATTTCTTCTTTGCCAAAGGAGTAACTCTATTGTTTAGTAATTAGTCTTCCTTCTGGGATGCATGGTATAGGCCTTCTTTTGGAACTGGCCAGGGCAGTGTATAAGATGCATTAAGTTGAATTGTTGTCTTAGAATGGATGATAATGCTCCTGGAACAGCTGTAAAACTTTGGATATCATTGACTGAGTAGTGGGCAAATCTTAACATACACCTTTTTACTGAAAGAGAATTAGTTTCAATATATCACATATTAGTTTGCTAGGGCTGCCATAACAAAGTACTATAGCTTGGGTGGCTCAAAGAATAGAAATTTATTTTCTCACAGTTCTGGATGCTAGAAGTCTGAAATCAAGGTGTTGCAGAGTTGCTTCCTTCTGAGGGCTATCAGGGAAGGATCTCTGTTTCAGGCTCGTAAACAGCCTCCTTTCCCCTGTCTCTTGACATTGTCTCCCCGTGTACATATCTGTGTCCTAATTCCCTCCTCTTAGAAGGACACCAGTCATTGGATTAGGGTTGCCCTACTGACCTCATTTTAACTTAGATATCTCTGTAAATATCCTGTCTCCAAATAAGGTCACATTTCGGGGTACTAGGGGTTAGGACTTCAACATATAAATTTTTGTGGGATAAAATTCAGCTCGTAACACCAGCCTAATTAAAATTTAAGCTAGATTCAATTATTTGTTAATGTAGCCATTCAACAAATATTAATTGAGTACCTTATATAGCTGGTTGTGCCCTCAGTGCTTAAGATGCAATGGTGACCAAAACAGGCTCATCCTGACCTTCAGGGTGCTTAAAGTATGCTGAGGTGTCCACGTTAAACAAATAAGCATGTGATGACAACTCATGATAAATATGATGGGGTGTCAGGTATCAGGAGTCTTCATTTAGCTTTAGAGTTATAGTCCTCCTGTTACATGAGTATTGCCTCTGATAACATCAGTTGTTAACAAATATTCTAAGCCAGAGGAAGTATGGCCCCATAGCCAAGGCATAGTTTGGAAGACAGGCTTTTCTGGGTTCAAATCTCAGCTCAGTAACCTACCATCTCTGTTACTTGAAATTACTTCTTTCAGCCTCAGTTTCTCATCTGTGAAATATGTCTAGCAATCCACAGGGTGAGAGAGTTGATAAACAGATAAAATTAGGTTATATAAAAAGAAACCCCTAGGACTTCCCTTTTATGCAGTAGCCACCCAATAAGTTTTCTCTCCATTGTGTTTTCACTGTACCTTGTCTGGGCTTTATTTATAGCTCATAAATCGCTCTTTTTCATCCTAGGAAATTTCACACAGTGAAATCGTGCTCATCGATCGATAGCCAAAACTGAATAATGAAAGAACAGAAAAAGACAATAGTCTCAGTTGCTAGAAAACATACTATCTAACATTGGGAAATGACTTTTGGAATTGTAATAATTGGAAGACAATTATAAAGTTCGTTTCCTTAGCTGTCAAATAGCAACTAGGTAAGGGGACAGATGATAAGGTTTTGATTTGAAGGATTTAGATAAAGACTTTCTGAAAACCCATGTAATGTTATATAATTGAAAGGAATGATCTCTGAAGTTGCTTCTAGCCTATAATAATTGTATGTGTCTCCATGAATAAGAACAAAACAATGTACCACAGATTGAATATGGAGGCCACAAGGATATAGAGTATGGGAATGGACAGAGGACATTGTTCCTCATGCTGTGATTACCACTTAAACCTTTCCTTCCTGATCTCCTGCTGTGGTCGCAGTTGTCTCCCAAATGCAAGCCCAGTCCTGCCTTCATTCATACTATTTCTTCATTGAACTCTAGCTTTTCTGTCCAAAGCCTACTATATTAGTTTGCTAGGGCTGCCATAACAAAGTACCACAGATTGGCTGGCTTAAGGAACAGAAATGTATTGGCTCACATTTCTGGTGACTCCAAGCCCAAGATTAAGGTATGGGTAGGGTCGGTTCTTTCCAGGGCTGTGAGCGTAGGATATGTTCCAGGCCTCTCTCCTTGGCTTGTAGGTGGCTATCTTCTCTTTATTGTCTCTTTACATTGTCTCTCCTCTATACATTTTTCTGTGTTCAACTTTCCCCCTTTTATAAGGACACAAGTCATATTGGATTAGAGCCTACCCTAATGACCTTATTGTAACTTGATTACCTTTGTAAAGACCCTATCTCCAAATGTCATATTCGAGGTACTGGGGTTTAGTACTTCAAGATATAAATTAGGGGGGGAACCCAGTTCAACCTGTGACATCTACCACTCCTGATAGAAAATATAGGTGGGTGCTGTGGGGGGAGGGTGTAGGAACCCAGAGGGACTTGTTTATTTTTTCTTGCAAAGGAGTTAAATAAGAGGTGTGTGATGGAAAGGAAAGAGCATTAGCCGTGGAGCCAGGCAGCCCCAGATCTGCGTTCTGTCTCTAGGTCATTCACATAGGTAATATCACCAATCCAGGGTAACTCATCAGAAAATTTCAAGAAAAATAACATTTTTTCCCTCCCAACAAATGACTTTATGGGCTGAAGAATTACAGTAGCTACTTATTTCTATCTATTTTAGGAGCACAACAGTTGTACTTTTATCAGTGAAATTGAATGGCATTATCTTAGGAAGAAAATTTTGTATATTTTGATAAAGATATGATTCTTACTTTCCCCAGAAAAATTGCTGTGTGAGCCTGTTGAGAAAGCCCTGTCACTTTCTGCTAAGCATTGCCAGCCA